TTAAAAAAATCTAGATTTAATGTGACATTAAGTTGGACCTGGGATAGAGAGAATAGTGGGGAGGAAAATGGCTCAGATTTTTCCCCGACCCGGATTGAGTGCTTGTTCTGCTTCATCCCACCGGAGGTCTGTTGCATGGAATAGTGCAAGATGTTCACAGCTCTGTTTTGTTGAACATCCCAAAGCAGAGCTTAGAAGCAGTTGAGTCTGTGTCCTTTAACTGTACAAACTCTTCACGGTGGGAACCTTGGATAAGACTTGATGGTTTGGGTTGAAAACTATACAGCACAACCATTCCGTCCCTCTTTACGGCGCACTCACTCGTGCTTATTGGAACTAAAGGCTGGAAGTTCTAGAAGAACTCCGCCTGTTTTCCTCCCTGCTATCTTTGACTCCCACCTCGGCGTGTCCACCCTGGCTCAAACTCTCTCCATCAGTAGCCATGCTAAGCAGGGATGTGTGCTTTCATGGAGGTGCCTCTTAAGGCCAGGTGTAATTCCCTGGCTAGGAAAATGCCATCATTTGGCCAAAGTTTAAAAATCGGTATGTGGTGACGCTGGAATGTCCTCTTGCCCTCTTTATTATGAAGGTCTCCGGATGTCAGGAAACCTTGGGAATCCGCCATGTTCCTCATCTCCTCTCAATCCCTCACATGAGCCCATTGTATATTTTCCTCCTTTGGCCTCATGACAAAGATCTGAAAGCAGTCTCCTTGGGGTAAGGCTCTTAAGGAAGTAGAGCAGTGGTTCTCAGCCTTCCTAATGCCGCAATCCTTTAATACAGTTCCTCATGTTGTGGTGACCCCCAACCATCAAATTATTTTCGTTGCTACTTCATAACTGTAATTTTGCTACTGTAAACATTATGTAATTATATATGTGTTTTCCGATGGTCTTAGGAGACCCCTGTGAAAGGGCCGTTTGACCCCCAAAGGAGTTGTGACCCACAGGTTGAGAACCACTGAAGTAGTGGATTCAAGGCTTTCTCACCTATGAGCTTTGTTCTTCAACCACAATCAGAAACTCATAGAAAAGACTCCTAGTGTGAGAAAGACCCCTTTCTATCTTATTCTAACAAGGGTTGGCCCACTTGCACTAAACAGAAGACCCAACACTTTGTCAAGGGTATTCAGGGAGGCTTGTTCAGCAAATTTCAAGGAAAAGGAAAGAAAAAAAACCTTCTCTTTCCACTCCATCTGGAGTTTCGAGGGACTCCAAAAATATTGGCCCATAGTGATTATAAAAATCTCCCATTTATGCTGTTCTAAAACAAGGGCAAAGCCTCACACAACTCAAAACACTTCTTTTAAATGTTCGTAGGAAAATGACCTTTCTCTCCAAGTCCTTTAGCTGGCTGAAATTAATGAAACACAGTCGGAGGCACCTATGCTGGCCACTGGCCACCATTCATTTGGAACACCCCCCCTCGGCCATTCTTAGATTGCAGAACTGTTTTGTCTTGACTTCAAAATTTCTCCTTTCTCCTTATACTAGTAGGTAAATAACAATTTGCATGAAAATCACTGACACGGGTGTCATTGACATTTTGGGTAGCTATGAAAAAACCGGCATCTTTTCCCTGGCTACTCAAAGAACACCAGGAGGAAAGTAGAGAAGAAGGTACCTGAAAGAGCTGATATCTCCAAGTTCATTATTTAAAAAATGGGTGGGGTTATGCCAACAAGGAGGAGGAAGCTTCCAGACCTCTGATAGCCTCTTTTGCTAACAATCAGATAATCCAAAGGAAGATCAAGGGTTTCTGCTAACGAAAGAGAACTAAAGGAGAGAGAAAAAGAAAAAAAAAAAAAGAAAGAAAGGAGAGAACTTAAAGGAAAAGAGATAACACTTTAGAAAATAAAAGAGAAACAAATATCTTTTCCCTTTTTACTTGCATCACTGGAAGGAGAAAAAATTAGGGAAATTCAGTGCTGGGGTAAACATGACCCCAATAGATGGTGGAGCCCAGAGAGAAGTTTTTTATGGCTGTCATGACCCATGGCCCATCTATACTCACTAGCCCCCATTCTGGCCATGCTGTGAACCCTAAAATATTTCCTGTGCTTCTTCTAAAGCAGATGTGGTGCAGAGAGACTAGCAGGGGCCAATGAGCTAAGGAGGAAGTTCAGGGAGCAAAAGAGGTACATTCCCCCCAACCTGCCTCTTTACTGTCTGGACAAGACAATATTCCATGGCACCTGACTCTGAAAAGGACCTTCCTTCTGTCTTTTGGACATTAAAGGGCTAGTCCTGGGCCTCTCCCACAGTCCAGTCTGATCAGTTCTCATTGGCTGATGAAGAAAATGGTCCCAAAGGAAGGTATTGATGTGTGAGAGTCCTGGAGAGGAAGCTGGGGAGCCAAACACATGCTCAGCAGTGGAGTTAGCTAGAAGGGTAGGGTAAGCCCCCAGAATGGTTTGAGGCATATCCCACAGAAGTGAGGAAAGGAGAAGGAATAAAATAGGACCAAGACATTAGAGGAGAGAGAAATAGATAGACGTATACATTAGAAGTAGCCTGAAGATTTCTTTCTCCTGCCCTAGTTGGTTTGGCTCAGTGGATAGTGTGTCAGCCTGCAGACTGAAGAATCCTGAGTTTGATTCCAGTCAAGGGCACATGCCTGGGTTTCAGGCTCGAT